ATATAATAATCACGGAATCATGGCGTCACCCTGGCGCATCAGATGATGGAATAAGTATTGACGTGTATACATATTTTAGATGTGACCGTAGCAAAAAGAGGGGAGATGGAGGCTTAATATAATTTCTAAACACCCAAATAAAATTAAAGACTCCACGTGGGTCACAGCGCGCTAAAAAGATGTAGTGGCACACAAGAAGACGAGTTACCACTCAGTGGCGCTCTTGAACACACATCCTCCCTTCAACATGTCAACAAAATGGCACACAGTGGCCGTAGCAGCCAAAGTCCAATTATTTCGGCCTGAATGCGGGGAACATCTGGGCGGTGCCAAACTAACGCGAGTTTGACCAGTTCCTGCCTTCCACTGTATAGCTTCCGAACTTCCGCAAGTGACGCGCGGTCAAAGGTTGGACCAAAATATAATGATAATAATAATTTATTCCTGAATTTACAGGGGCATGCCACTTTTACAGTAACTACACGGATTGTAGTAATTCAGTGGTAGATTCGTAACAAAATTTGTGGTACTATCAAAGCAACAATAAGTTATATCAAAATTACAAAAATACCCCAACAGTGCCGTTGGGTAACTGTACAGTCCTAACGTTCTCGACACAAATATGTACTACACAGCAAAAAATGGCTAAACGAACACAATAGCTAAGTACCTGAGGATCAGTAAGAATATTCTCTGCAAAAGGGGACCAAAAACTGTCAACCAGAGTCAAACCGATAAATAAACCTTTCCAGTAGCCAGTCAAAAGACAAGCGGTCAAATCGAAGCACGACGGTGAGGTGAACCAAAACATAGTGTCGGACGCAGTAAAACAGCGTCACGTTGTCAATAGTCCAGCGTCGCCTGTTGGTCGCCTGGTCTGTGCGACACTACACATAAATCATCATTGGCAAAATCTAAATCTTCTTCTGGGGTCTTTTCGTCGGTCAAACAGCGTATGCCCATCTTCTCACAGCTCCTCAAAGTTTGTTGCATGCTCCGGTCCATTCTACCACAATGAGGATGATCATCGTTGATAGTGGGCGGCAACCTTACCTTATTCCTTCCCGTCTTCACTTCAGAGGCATCACTGAGCATTCCACGTGAATCACTTGTCATGCAGCATCATACAGCATATCGCTGCTATTGAATGAGGTTGATAAAGGTTTGTGGCACTGACACCGTAGTGTTGAAGCAGCTGCCTATTAAATTACTTCTCGGTCGACCCCATTGAAGGCCTTTCGAAGTCGGTGTTGCTTTGTGACAATCCTCGTGTTTGTACACACTGCCTCCAATCAATAAATCGTTAAATGGGCAGAATTCTGCAAATAGTTGTCCATTCTCGTTCATTTGACCGAGTGCTTCTCGACCCATGACGTACTCCTTTCTTGTGTTGTCCGCTTTTAGTTTGGCATTCGTGTCACCCATTAGAATTTCGATGTCACCGACTGGGGTAGGGTCTCGTCCATTACCGGTTGCAGTTGTCGTTAGAATTCCTCCCTCTTCTCTTCGTCCGCATTATTTGTAGGTGCACGGCGCCGCGTATTACTGCATGATTGTGACTTTCCTTCCTTTTGAGTTGAATTCATTTCTTTGTCACGATCCTGATCCTGTAGGAGGAGATTGGTTTCCACTGCACCAGAGCCTTCGATGTTCTTGGAAGGGGGACATCATGATATTCACTCCAAAATTCAGTGTGCTGGTGGCTGTCGTCTGGTTGGAGATATCGGAGTAGATCATTGACTCTCCAGTTGAGAGTTGGGAGAGTTCGCTTCCGTTCAATCTGCTTTTGCAGATTCCAAACACTTCTGTGCCATACCTGCTCATCTCTTTTGCAATCTGGACTAAAGCCTTGTTCAACAGCACCGGCAGCCTAATAGCTGCTTTTTACCCCCTAATTTTTACTTGTCGTCACCAGCCTAGTGGCTAAACTGGGCAGGATCTGTGGTCTGCCTATTTCTTTGGTTAGCACTGGTAGTGCTTCACCCTCTTCTCTTTTATCGGAAGTTGACCTAGCCATATACCTGGTCGTTTTTAAGCTGTCTGCCAGCTCTGAGGATGCGAGAACCTGAAGATGCTCATTTTTTGCAGTGTCTTCTAAGTCACCACCAACAAACCTCATATGTTCTACCCACCCCATTCTCAACTTGTCAATGGACATTCCGAAAATTCTGTATGGTGATCTGCGTCTCAATGGATGATATATCACTGCTGCTGTTACAGCTTTCAAATTTCCCTTTGGACACCAGCTTCTTCGTTATCGCAATCCGAAGTGCCCTCGATTCTTCAAGCGGCCCGCGAATACCTGAGCAGTACGACGTGCGAAGTCAGACACTCACTGCATCAGTGCACCTCATACGCGCTGGGTGCGGATGTTCAGTTATCGTGGGCCAGCTGTTACATTTCGAGGACTGCATACCCCACCCTACCACAAGTGCTTTTAAGGCACCTTTGGTCGACTGTATGGAAGAGACTGGAGAAAGCTGCAGTTGTTAGTTGATCGTGTCTCACATACCCTGAAATCGCTGTTTACGCAATTCATTCATTTTAAGCCAACCGGTAATTTGATGCAGAGGAGGTGCGCCATAGTGGCATGCATCAATCCTTCGGTGGTTGGCCGAGGTATCTGAATGTGCGACGGCGTTCTACCAGTTGACTTTCCTTAGGGGAAACGAGGTTGCTAACTATTAGAGTTCTTCTCGGAGTAGGCTGGTTTCAAGTGCCCGATGGCCACAGGATTTTTACGTCCAACTTGATCGACATCATGAATTCCTTTGTGCGGCATAATGATTTTTAGGGGTCCATCATACTAGGCCTCAAGAATTAAGTGGATGATATCCGAGGGGACAGAAACATTTTCTGCTTTTCGCTAAAAAGAGAGAACGAGAAATCAATCACCTAAAGTCCAATATGAGCGGGTCTCACTGAAAGCACTATCTTTATAAGCCTGGTGGTTGAAGAGGAGTTCCATGGAAACTTTTGGTAGAAGTGCATCCAGTATCAGCTTTCAACGCCCTTCTGATATCCAGCAGGACTGGTATCAGTGCCTCTATGCAATTGGGAGCATTTCTGGCTGACAGTACACTTTTCTGCCGTTGAGTGGAGTGTCGTTCTACATAACTTGCTTTCAAGCTCAGGGATGCATGTGACCCGAAAATACAGCTAATCCGTGAGGTCATCCGCATTGGAATTGGCATTCGCACTTGGATGTTGTGGGGCATGTGTATCAGAAGTTCGCAGTCCATGTTTCAATGATGGTGGTGGTTTCAGAATTAGTATAGTTAGCAATTACTGCATCTGTCTATCTCACAGAATGGTCCACGCAGGTCACAAGATAAACATGCCGGTTAGCTTCTGTCGGGAGTTTTGTGGTATCTGCTCACAGACCTAAATATACATAACTACGAGCAAAGTTCAATGAGAAAAGTCTGTTGGGGCCCACACAGATATTTAACATCTCATGATTTTAGCAGTTATATTTCCCGATGATTGCAGAGAAGAGTAAATTAGTATCAGCTGAGGTTTGCAAGTTTAGTGCCAACAGCTTCATCGAGGTTTTAGTGAACCGGAATTTACGGTGTCCAAGCTAACATGTCATTAACTTTAAAGGTATTCATCTGCACGAATGGTTCTACGTTGCTTGAGTTGCAGAATAAAGATGATATCCATAGTAGTGTGTTGTATGGGAAGAGTGAATGAATTACAGACTGAGATTTGCATGTCCACATGTGCTGCTGATAGTTCTTATCGTATGTGTGTTGGTTATGGGGGTGGGTTGAGACCAGGTCAAACTACATTTTACTCCTTCATTCTTATTTACGCAGTTTTGGTTCCACTTGATGTGAAGAGATTCTGCTATGAGACGCTGTTCACAATTTCTAGAGCCTTTCAGAATAATTTCGATATTGTCAAAATGGACCTTGTGACTTGAAGTTATGGCATGCAGAGCCATGACTGATGTGTTTTCAGGTGATTTTGGTTCCACTGTATTTCTCGTGGGTCGGGTGGAGGTTCTACGGTGTTCATCTTTCCTAATTTTGATTTCACGAGAAGTTTGTTTCTTGTATATTACATCTTAGTCTGATGATTCTATTTTGTAGCTACGATTAGATTTTGAATCCGGGGGGATATCATTCTTGAGTTGGACTAAAATGTTCATTACACAGTCCATTGTAGGTCACCTTTGGTAAACACCTTGGTCAAAGTTTGGGTTTCTTACCCCGAATTCCTTCTTCTGGGTCTCCGAGGCCCTTGTCACACCACATCTGGGTGTTCTCAACACAGCAGTTCTAGACCGCCGTTCAGATGAGGTTCAGACCTTTTGTAGGAGTTGTGCAGGAGGACATCTGAATATGCCATTGGGCTACGGTACAGAAATCATCCTATTTGTCTCCGATAAATTGACTCGTTTACCTTCAAATACCGCAAGAAACGAGGTAACCTGATGGAAGTATATCGTTTCACGCCGGGTAAACCATGCAACAAGCAGTTGATCTCATCACAGAATGGGAAGCCATGAGATGCCCCAGAAAAAGCGGCATATCACAGAGTCAATAAAGGGATAAGGGGCAGTTTCTTTTTTCATTTGGTGTGTGAACAGTGGAGCAGATGCCAGAGGAAATGGCAGCGACTCCCACTAGCCTAAACAGAGAGTCTTTGACTTAGGCAACCAGCCAAAACAACTGTTTACCACCACTCGACTAAAAATATGACTTAGCTTTCCAGTGACACTTAATGTTACCAAACACACTCCATTTTTTCTCTCTTTCCCACAACTCATTGATAATTTTTTCCGTAACTAATCACTAATCACAACTTGGATAACCTTATTCCTCAACACGAACAGAGTTTACAAAAATGTTATTAATTTTCTTGGTAGCTCCATAGTTTCTCTGCACACATTCTCTGAATACTGTTATGAGATAAACCTCGGAATAATCACACCCTAGGAGTTAAGTGCACGAAGGGGAAAGGAATGCCGCATCCACCGAGAGAGGGAAATAAAAATAGAGCCCAGCTTCAAGACCAGGACGTTTTATTTCCAAAACCTTAATTTTACTGTAGTGGCCTGAAAGGTATTGGGTGTACTGAATCAAACTACTTTGCGCAAGGTTTGAATATGGGCGGTGAAGGTAGTTCACTTTCTTCGACAGATTCCGATGAGTCGAATTCGGAGAAGAAGACCAGAAACTCTGCTTGATGCTAGCCCAGCAAATGAAACATATGAGAAATGTTCGGAAACTGCTTACTCAGAAAGTCGTAGTCTGGATAACCTCATAGAACGCCCTCATAAACTTTTCTTCTTGTTGTGTCCCCTGCTTGTTGTGTCGGTTGTTTATTTTATTGTGAGTAACATTGGTAGTGATTGCTGGTCTTGTTCTGGTTCTTCTTGGAGCTCCGATTTCGATGTTGCAACTGCTAGGTCTCATCTGGTAAAAGTTACAGATCTTGGCCCTCGAACCGCAGGATCTGCGGCTAATGAGGTTGCTGCCGCTGATTACATCCGGAATGAACTGAAATCAATAGCAGCTATTGCTGACGGCTCAGAACTACAAGTTCTTTTCGATGAGCATATATCCAACTACTCAAGTTTTAGAGCATTTTTTCACATATCGTCTTACAATAATGTGCGCAACTTTGCTCTTCGCTTCCATGACTTTCGTGCTAAGAACGGAAATACAAAGAAATCAGCATTCCTCATCAACTGTCACTATGATACAGCTCCTGGTAGCCCTGGTGCTAGTGATGCCTTTGTCAACTGTGCTGTCATGCTCGAAGTCAGCCGCATATTGGCTACAGGTTCATATATTCTATCTAATGACCTTGTATTCCTTTTCAACGGCGCCGAAGAAAGCCTGCTGCTTAGTAGCCATGCCTTCATAACTCAACACAGTTGGGCTGACGACATTGTTGCTTTTATGAATCTTGAGGGAGCCGGTGCTGGAAAGCGGCTTTTACTTTTTCAAACTGGACCAGGACAGTCATCAGAAGTGTTACTTGACGCCTATGCGAATTCTTTCAGACAGCCATACGCTAGTATTTTTGGTGAAGATGTGTTTCAATTCGGACTAATACCGTCCGATACTGACTACAGGATATTTCGTGACTATGGGTTAGTTCCGGGGTTAGATCTTGCTTATGTTAATGATGGTTTTGCTTACCACACACCCTACGATACAGAATCTCGCATTTCGCACCGATGTCTTGAGCAATCTGGTAATAATATCTTACGGTTTATTCTTTTCATTACCAACGATAATAGGATTCAAAATATCACTAAACTTACTCCTATCAACTACACTTCAGAATCTTTGCAAAGTATCTCATCTTCAGACTCCCGGTCGGATATGAAGAGTGTGCCTCCACTCGTCACTACTCCAGCTACTCATCGACAAGTGTACTTCGATTTGTTTGGTGTCACTGTAATAGTAGTGCCCTGGAAGATATGGAAAGTTGCCAACTACGTTTTGTGTTTTTACCTGTGTCTCTTAATATTTAAAACTAGAGGGTTTGGCATAGTTAAATGGCGTGGGATTTTCGTTGCTTTGATTTTGCATGTGATTACCGTATTGTTGGGTTTCGGTTTCTCATTGACTCTGGGACTTTTGTACCACCATTATGGTTGCAAAATGGCTTGGTATTCAAACTACTACAACATTTTGGGTATGTTTCTTTTGCCAATCGTTTGGTGGTTTGTATGGTCTCAGACTTATTTTTTCAGAATTCCTGGAGGCCTTCTATTCAGGCTGTTGAATATTTCTAATTTCTTTCTTGGGATATGGCGGTACAATGCTTTGCACAACTCTTATTTGCTAGAGATTGACTTCTTCGATTCTGGTGCCTTTTTGTTGACCGTTCTGTTGTTTATTATGTCTTCAGTCAACGCTACTACATCGTTTATCTACACATTCTGGCTCATATTCGCGCTCATTTTCCGGGTGTTTAACATCAAGAAAAAATCATCACTGGAATCAAAAGTTAGGCAGATGATTGGTTTTCTTGTTTTTGTTTTTGTTATGACAATTCATGTCTATAACTGCTGTTCGTTTTTCGAAGTTATCATACCGATTATGGGGCGTGCAGGCCATTTGCTTAAACCAGATTTGTTAATTTCGGGTAGTTTATTTTTAATGATGTTGCCTGTGGTGTTTCTGTTTTTGGGTCGACTACAATGCACTTCAAGGACGTCAAGTAAATCTCTTCGTTTAATGCTGCTGAATGCTTGTTTGTCGTATGTTATTCTTATTCATGCCTCGAATTATGGTTTTCCATATAGCCTTCAGTCCTCTTCGGATTTTTCAGATCCTCTTGTCAGTCCAAGGTACCAACGTCTGGCTCTCTTCCACACTAACAGGTACCTTCGACACACACCTGATTTATCCGAAGTAACTGAGAAAGACAGTCACATCCTACTGGTTCCTCTTGATGCAAATGGTATTCAATATCTAAAACCGAATTCTTATCCTATGTCTTCTGCATCTTTTATCACTCCAAAAGAACACACACAAACGAATTTTAGAGGCATCAAGGAATTGATAGGAGCAAAACCTATTCAGTGTAATTACAGTCAACCATATTGTGGAATAGCTTCAGCGTATCCTCTGTTGCATGTTTTCAAATACATATATCGTATTCCTGTTGAATTTCACAAAGCAGAGCCACAGGTCAAATTAAAGTTGGTGTCACGTACACTGTTAAAGAATTATTTGGCGGATGGTCGTTTGCGATGGAACCTAACATTTTCTGTGATGGGTGGTCCTCCTCACACTCATGCCCTGATTCGCACAGACGGAAACTTGACTAAACTGACTAGTTGGTCATTTACATCAACTGCAATATACCCGTCTTCTATGCCACTTCCTCCTCTATTAAATAAGGAGACCGCGAGTCATAAAGGTGAACATTATTTCTTATACCACCTAAATGCAGCAGCTGTGGGTAACCTTGGAGTCTCATGGGAAACACCTTGGACGTTTTGGGTTGTCTTCGAAGTCTTTCAAGAGGTATCGCCCCGATCCAATTACATTGATGTAGCTATCTCTGGTATTTATATAGACGAAGAAACCGCTTCCATTTGTTCACCCACACTCTTAGAATTTGTAACGAGGTTACCACCATGGGTTACTGTCATCAAAGGATGTACTGTCTATGACCATTGGAGTTTTTGGTTAAACTAATGTGGATTCTGTATAATATTTCTAGTTATTTTTCCTTTTTTAACGATTGGACTTGTATAAGGTCTCTCAGATATTTTAACTGCAAAATAGTTACTTTTATTTAATTGGATAGCTTGCTTTCTTGTATATTTTTCATTCATAAATATAATCGCAAAATATCGACTTAGTTTCTTTCTTTTTCATCAGTGACAGTTTTTAGTGACTCCTACCTTTTGTTTCAGTTCTTAAGATGCCTCATACAATATTACTCGTACAACCCTCAGTAAAGAAACCAGACACACGCACATGGTCTGATTACGAGACTGTAGAACAATGTCTTGAAGGCGTTTGCAAGATCTATGAAGAACAGTTGAAGCGTGAGAAACCGAATGCTCCTACTATTACATATGATATTTCTCAGCTTTTTCAGTTTATCGACCAGCTGGCTGACCTCAGTTGTTTAGTTTTTCATGAACCTACCTACACGTATGTCCCACACCATAAAAACTGGATCAAAGAGCAAGTTTATGTACTCCTTAGAAACCAGGCTGGGCAGTAACTGATATTAAACTAAATTATGTGCTGCAGTTTTGTCCGGCATGTAAACCTCAATAACTGAAATATATGTTTTATCTACAAGCTTGTCCGTTTTGTTTGAACTTGTGTATGTTGGTCAGTAAACCTCATTACTATAGTTATGATTATAAATGTTTAAAGTAGTTGAACTAGAGTGTGGAGTTTATCGTTGGGGAAATCTGCAGCTTAAAATCTATTTAGAAATGTCTTAGGTTTAAACCTCTTAGATATCTAAATAGGTTGCCTGAAGTTTTAGAAACTAAAGGATCTTTCATTTCAAGGTTTTATCATCCTAAATGCTCGTCATGGCTTCATTTCCGAGGGTACCATGCGATTGTCATTTACAATTAAGTCTGCACTGGCGCTATTTGGTGCCAGGGAACTGAAATGCTATGTTTTTGAACTTTCTGGCTGTGATTTACGTTGCACATCCTAATTTGGTATCTTTCTTCACTCACGTGATACCTGCTACTAGTTTTCCAGATTCACTGGATAGATGTGATTCACGCTAAAGTTTAGGAGTAGAACACCGAAGTGTGTGAGTGAATATACGATTCTTGCAACATTTTGAATGCATGGTTTCCGTTACTTTTAGCTCCTAAAGCTTATTTGGATGTTGCCAGTCAGTCAGACAAGATGTGTGAAAATCAAATTGGAATTGTAATACATTATCATCTCGAACGGTACCATTACTGCGTTTGTTTAAGGTGACAGAGGTTCCTCGTTGTCTTTACGACTAAAGTTAGGAAGGTTTGTTGGTCTTAGGGTTTGTAATGGCAACATTGAGGTGACGCATTAGGTTGGACACAACAACAATAACATTTATGAACCTATAATATGAAGTACTGACAACAACTTGTCACAAAATATTGGCGTTTTTGTTCACAGAATTTATTTTTCAACTTGTGGACGATTTCCACTTCCACGTGTTTTCATTACCTTCAAAATTAATTTGTTGCAGTTCTACTAGTGCTTGCTTTCGTCTACCGAAACTTAACTACCGGATTTGCATCTCAATGGCTGATTATATCTCCTAGAGCTGTGGTTCACTGGTGTAGGCAGTTGGCTTTCTAGAAGGTTCTGCTTTCCTTTGCTTATATAGAGAAATTGGCGTCTGAACTTATCACTAAAACAACTTTAGTCAATAAGAATCTCTAGGTCTGGAAACAGTGGAGATGCAGATAAGTCTAAAGGAAAAAATCACAGGGCTAAGAAAGCTAGTGTTTTACAGTTGCGTCTATTTTCGACATTTTTTGATACACTGGATGGTGCGGTATATATGTTTCCTTCGATATGCAATCTAGATAAGTAAAATGATCAGTTATAAAACAGTTGGTATCTTTTCGCAGCAATTAGTTAGGTTAGTTATCACTATTAGCAATTCTTTGTGAAGTTGTGCTGCGTAATTATGAAGCAGAGGGCTTTGACTTGTTGCCCTCCTCAACGACTGCTTTGCATTGTTGGTCTCCGGCTACACACTGTTGTGCATTCGAAGCTGAAATTTACTACTTAACTCAGCACTTGAAGTCACTGACAAAGAAAGCGTATTACATGACTTTCTGATGAGTCGGTTCGAATTTCTGCACTAAGAAACTCATAATATTGATCCTTTGGTGGTACTGTCTGCATCTCAGGGACGCTGTAAAGCCATCCTTTCAGATGTTTATAATATTCTCATGTTATTGATCTGCGTAGCAACTTCATAATTGTTAAGGGTCCTTTTATATTTCTTATGCTATTTATGTGAACATTGTGCAGATAAATCTATTTGAAGATTTTCTGTAGACGACGAGATCCTATTGCTGAATAAGATACCACGGCTAGTGGTTGAAGTATATTTCCTGACGTAAGTTTCGGCAACCTATCCAAACATACTGGTTTTTGGGACGTTATGCAACAATTAAGTGTTTTAAGTGGCAAACTTTACCAAGTAGAATATTGAGATTGCTTTCATACTGAAATATACTTATACTGACAAGTATTTTACTTTACAATCCGGCCTTAGTTGAGTTTTGTGTGAATTTGGTATGTAGGCAAATGTGGCCTTCGAATCAAATAACATAATGATGTGAGTAGACTTATACCTTGAAAGAGTACGCCTTGGAGTAATTGGATGAGTCTGTGGTACAATGCAGAAGCGTCGATTACGTAATCCCTCCTTGTATGAATTCTAGAAACAGTTTTACTTCTCGACCATTAATTTCTGTTTCCTATACGTTTTGTTGTTTTTGTTAGGTACTGCTACTTATTTAAGACTTCATTCAGATGTCTAATGGGTTTGTCCGACAGTCGGCTGAATCTGATTGTGACTGGGAGGTTCATGATCCTTTTAAAAGTAAGTTGTAACTGAGTCTTTGAGTTACGCCAAAACTGCTTGTGGTAAAAATGTTGAGATTTTTTCACTTGATTCCTATGTGTAAAGCAACAAATATAATCACCAGTAGGCGGTAAAGATACCGGCTTAAGGAGTAACAAAGCTTAAAAATTAGGTAAGATATCTTTGACAGTGCTTTAGCTTTGTTATTTATATACGAAATTAGTATTTTCAAAATGGAACAAACTTTTCTTGAGTCAGTGAAAGCAGAAAACGTGTGTAAAATTTAATTTCTAGCATCGCTACAAAATTGCTAATCACTGAGATTTTTAGGCTCTGGGTGTATACACCTAACTTTGTATGGGAAAACACCTAAAACTCAGCCGTTTAACAAAGCTGCATTGATTAGAGCTTTAAAGCAAAACTTTGGTTTTAGACAAGTTGACGGTAAAGAGGGTTGTTTATGAATGACACTGAATAGAAATCGCATGTACGTGAACTAAGGTTTTGGGACTATGACAAACATATTTCACTGGCGTGTTTGAGTAGTTATATACCCACAAGAAAATAATTCTTTTGGCGCAATCATATGTAGGGTAATAAAAAAAGTTACTAATTTAAAGAATATGCACTCAGCCACCTTGTGCACATCGGTGCAGTAGGAAATGAGCCACACTCCGTGGCTACTCAAACCTCGGCAGGTGAAGCGAGGCTAGAACCTCTGACCTGGTGGTTGATAGTCACTTCTCTAAACCACTGAGCCACAGTTCCACAACCATCTATAGACTCACTGAAAACCATCTACTTGAATAACATAGTTCAAAATAATAAACCCTGAAATCATTGTTATCTTTTATAGTAATCGGAAAACTCACTCGTCAACTTTTCTCTTGATTTGCGTCTTTTGCTTTCTTCCTCATCACTGATGCACACAAAATGTAGTGGGACATTATGTAACAAACCAAGACTAAAAGCTGAGGCATTTAATAATGAAGATGATGTCAGACATATAGATAAAATTAACCACAGAACTTCACGCAGAAGTGAATGGTTTCGAGTTACCACATTTCTCAGTAACATGCAAAAAGCAAGTTGTTAAGTACATTGACACCGAAGTACTTAGAGGTGCATGGGAAGAAGAGGTATCTGCAACGCATTCAAAATAACCCCCACAAATATTTCCCTCCTAGACTGAAGTGATATATCAGTCTTGAAAATGTATACACGCATTATCCTCATCTTAACCACTATAATTGACCTCATCATTTGCTTATTCCTCCTTCCTCTCTTTTACTACTTCTTACTTTTGACCGAGTTTTCTTTCTTCCTTCATCTCCCATTTTATTTCCTTGTTAATTGATGTGTTGCTGTGAGGTATGGTAACTTGAACCGTTACACAGTAATGCCTGGTCCTAAGTTGATTTTGATGATTATGAGTGGAGTAATTAACGATCTAGACCAGTTCGATGGGGATACTTCTGATTCCGTAACATAACCTAGTACCTCCGTTACTCTGCTTAGTAGTTCCCAGCGTCGTTCCATAAAAAATTCTGTTGAAAAGCCGTCAAGTCGTCCTGCGTTGCATCGTTTCAGTTTCAAAACAGCCTTCTCAACTTCAAGGATGGTTGGGGAACCGACGTCTACATTTTCATCACGTTCGGGTGGGTATGGGTAACCGGAGCGTTGTTTTGCGCCAGTTGAACTATGCTTCAAAATGTTCCGCCCAACATCCCAACCGTCCTGAGAAACTATGAGAACCCCATCCTTTTCTGTGTTGGTTTCACTAACCATCATCCGCTTCTTGCCAGTAACCTTAATAAGTCTATGCAATCGCTGGGTATTACTTAATCCTCTTCAGCGATGGCTTATAACAGTATGATCTACATATATCCAGGTTGAGTTTGATGTCACATGACGTCAAGTGAGACTGTCTGTATTTATGCTCGAAGTCGATGCTGGTGATTGTTGCGACGAAATTACAAGAGACGAACACCGTTCATTGGCATGGGTTCCGTAGATACCTCCCAGATGCTTTTCCCAATAGCTCAATTTCCCTACATGACCGTTGAAGTCCCCTACCCATACGACTATATCTGGATGTCTCACTCAGTTGATAGAATTCATCCCTTGCATCATCTGAACTGCAGTCGGTGGGTGCGTCAGCAGAGAATGTATGAGTGGGCATAGGTAAGTCTCACGATCATTCCTAGTTCTTTTAGAGTCAGTCATTCAATAGAACAGCACATAGATGGCTGTTGTCTGGTATGGAGACGAGAAGTGTGCTTTGTGTTTGAGAGCTCATAGCTATATGTGCATCAGAATCTGCATGACGGCTAGCCGTTAAGTTTTCTGATACTCGTAAGATGAATTTTGAATGTCCATCATGGTGGCCAAGTGGGTAACTACACTCGGGTTTAAACACCACGTCAAAGCAGCGGCTACCTGTCGTGATCATCCGAAAGAGTATTTGATGTATAACAGTAATCATTGTAGGGAAGCTGAAGTCCCTTCTAGTTAGTTAGTAAGTTTTCAGTATCAAGACGAGAGATTACTTAAAATAGAAGCTTATTAATCACCTACTGGTAATCACATTTCAAGCGACCTCGTATTTTCGGTAATTTCCTGTTAAGCTTACAATAACGTTTAGAAACTCAACATCGACATTGAATACTAGTATAGTCAATGACATGAGGTAGGTTACATGAGTTGGAAGATAACAGTAGTGGTGACATTAATAGTGGAATCGAAAGAACGAAACCTGCTTATCAGCAACCTTGTGTACATTCGTGAAGTAGGCAGTGGGCGACAGTACATGAGGACTTATGGTGCTACCTGGCTGCCTAAACCTTGGTAGGTGGAGCCAGGTTTGAACCTGTGACCCATTGGTTGAAATTCAACTGCTCATACCAACAAACTAAAGCTCTAAAAGTTTTTATAACCGCAGTATTCACTCATTATGAATGTATGAGTGGATTATGTGTTTAGGCATAGTGAGAAGCAATTTGTTGGTGATAAATGTTTAGACGCTTGGTAAATTTGGAAACTAAGGATGAAATGTATGATTTAAATTAAGACGGAGTATTACGGTGATCATGATAGAAGTATAAAGATGTTGTTGTAACTGTATCGCGGTTGGGATCATACAGATAGTAGTAAATTCCAAACATCAAGAGGGGTTTACGCCTTCAGTTTTGTGATTTCCAGCGTCAGAATTTCTGTAACTGCATCTCTGGAATGCTGAAATTCCGACAAAGTAATAAAAAGATGCAGTTTATCTGAAATGTCTGACGTATTATCACAACACATATCAAACAATCTGATCACACACTTTCTTGTCATGAGTACCTATATAAATTGTAGCGAAGGATAAATGGAACTTTTTAAAAATAATGTTATGCCGGGTGGGTTTGTTAGTTGCGATAGGGAAGAGAACCGTAGTATAGTAATCAACCTCGGTATTGAGTCAGAACTACCAAGGGAGGTCGAGTGTAACAACAGTTTAAAAAAAATGGATTAAGGACCTCTAAACGTCCTTACAACCATATTTTCAACAAACTTGAGTTTGTGTCCCTAATTGGTTTTGTAAATAAGTTTGAAAGATGCGTACAAATCATCCTTATGACCCTTTTCATTGGTATGCTAAACTATAGACGAAGTTTGTCACTTATTGCTCTGGTTAATGATATCATTCAGCTTGATACATTGTTGTAACCCTCAGTTGTATAGAGCAATGGGTCCTTGCTATGTGTGTGAATCCATCGTTAAAATGCTACGCGGGTTTACAGGGTATATAAGTTTTATTTTCTGTATTATGTTGACCTTTGCTGTGTAATATGTTTTCCGGATGGCTACCATAACTTTGTTCGGTTTTAGACTGTGTGAATCGCCTATATAAGGCGATGTAGGCTGAACAATGGATCTTCTTTGTTCGGGATTTCTATTACGGTTAGTAAATTTCAGAGCATAATTGTTGTCTAATAATACCTTGACGGAGTTTTATCTTTCCTTCTCTAAAGTGCCATTCCTGTATATATTCTTTGAATGCATTTGAACAGACTTGATTGTGGTAATCTAAGTACTGTTTTGTCCATGTAGATGGGCGTTTTATTAACCCATCTTGCCAGTGAGTTATAAGAATATCTAATAGTGGTAGGGAGTGATAAACAGGCATTAAAAAATTTAGTATTATAATAGCATAGTGTCGTGAGTGTTCTCAATTTCTTTTACGTTTTATAATTTAATCCTTTTTAATGCATATGTACGATTTCACCTTAAAAAAATTTTACAATTCAGATTTTAAGTTCACATGGTACTTAAAGGAAGAAGTTGTTCAGTCGATCCGGAAAAAACAGGATGAAGATGGTACAAACAAACAAGGTCCTTTTACGAATCGGGCTTATACATTTATCACAGTGCCTCAATACTTGGAATCGGTAATTTACTCCAAACTTATATGCGTATATTTCAAATTCCCTTGCCAATTTTTTTTCTTTGAATTTAATCGTTTTATTGTTGTATACCTTATTCTTTGCGTAATAGTAAATGTGTTGTACGAAGGCTGTTCCTATTCACAAGTTATTAACGAAATAAACTTTCATTGTAAAATATTTCCACAGGTGTTTGCGTTTTAACGAAGTTGTTCATTTTTGAAATGCCTATTCAACGTACTTTTATTCACTGATATTGGATTACTTCGAGTAGGGAGATTGTTTTTTATAATATTTTTATGTGAATTGATTTTGATACAAGACTTCATTGTTAAAAATATCTTCATTGGTAAACGTGAGAAGCATACACGTTGCGTAAGTGTTATTCATTATCAGAAATATGTGACTTGTCATGAATCAAATTGTGTCCTAACGGTAACATTTACTTGGCAAATACAAATTCTTGTTGATGCAAATACTTACATTGAAACTGGTAAAACCTTTTACTGTTCTACTTCAGGACAGAATGACTCTATTACTGTCATCATTCACAAATTGAATTGTTTTATGTAGGTATCTTTTCATTGGAAATTTATATTTTTGCCTCCAATTGTCCATTAATGTTACCTATTTTATTGACCACCTATCTCACGGTAATTACCCGAAAGCGAAGAAATATACTTTATATTTCGAATAATTCTCAGGTTGAAGTGGGGAAAGTGATAGGAAATTTCCAAAGATATCTAGTCATGTAAGTGGAATGATTTAGTGAAATTGTGTAAACCAACCCGGTATATATTTATGCGCTGGGTTGTAAGCCACACCACCACCAATTGTCATTGTTTATGACAGTTCCTGTTTACCTAGGCTGAAGTAGGTGGAAGTGGATTTGAACTCGGAACCTATTGGTTGAAGATCGGGTGCTTAACTCTCAATGAACCATATTTCCACATTTATGCATTTTTTTTTTTTTTGAAGTGTGCTATGCGGATTTCTGCACAAGAGACTTAGTAGCTTGTCCCAGTGACCTTGGGTGTTATTGGTTGTTGCTGCCATAATACTTCAGTCCTGCTGACCTGAGTCCTGACGTTATTGTTGTTCTTGTCTCTCGTTGGTTGGTTGATTGGGTCAGTGTCAATATGTCTGTTGATCGGTGGCAAGCTGCTAAAAATTCTTCGGCGTCTTTTCTGTTTCCTCCATTTTTTCCAGTCGAACTCACGTCCACAAATATCTGCACGGATTTATATGAGCGAAAATATATCGCGACGTCTCACTGGAAGTTGATATTTGTGTAGACGAGCACTCTCCTACATAGTGTTGAAATTTTCTGCCGTTAATTTTAGACTCGTCTCCTTTTTTGATTCTTTCGGTCTTCATACCGTTGAATGAAGAGATTTACTTAGGCTTGCGGGCTACAACGACTCCTAAATACTTCAGTTGTCTGGTTACAATTCTAGAGACGTTCTTCGTATCTGGTAAGAAAACCCGCCTGTTGACTTACAGAGATGACACTTTTGCTTTCAGTTTTTCCGAATCGGTCCTACTTATTAGACCATTTAAAAATCCAAGGTTTTTAAAAGGAAACTTTTTGAAGAGAAATTGTAAATTTCACAGTTTGATAACGCGCTAACTGTGCAGTAACAAGCAAAGTTTCATGTAGTATCTCATTTCATTTAGATTGGAAACCATGGTCCAGATTTGGGACTAGAAAACATGGTATTGTTTACTTTTCTTTTGAGAATTATTGTATCTAATCTGCGCGTTCTAATGTTAGTGTTTTTAAACAGTTTTCTATATTGTATATTGAAAGTAATTGACACTTCACCACTGAGCAGATGGTTTGGCAGCATCTTAAGAAATTCTGTCAGATAGCGTAGATGCTTCCTTTATCATCCCCTAAATTGTCGTTCAAGGGAAGCAAGTATAAAACATGTTGCAACTAATTCAATCAGTTCAGGTGTACCGACTCACAAACTGATGTTAGGTAAACATACCTGAGCAAAGTGTAGACTGATATGATTCCGCATCAGTTGCAGTTACCAAGCTTCACATCGGTGCTACTATAAGGGTAGAATTTAGGTACTGTGGTAGAGTATAATTTCATTATAGTTTTTTTTTATGTATTGCACAGTGAAACAGTATTACTTATTACTTTACTAACACAAAAGTGAATGATTATTAAAGAGGCAATCACCCACCACTTTCGTCTTACTTTCTAGTGATAGAAGAAACAAGCAAACTTCAACATGGTTGGCCTCTCTGCTCAATCCAACAGTCAGAAATTTTATCGGCTAGTGCAGCTTATTTACATGATCATCCTCACCTTTTTACAGTCTACTTCTCTCTTAACAAATATACCGCGTCGGGTAGGCGGTATCTTGAGATGTGTATCATATTCCAACCACCTGGGTCTATATAGGTTTCTAGCCCCATGAGCTAATTTTCATATTTTATACATTGCTCTGCGTCTAGCTGTCGTTTGCAGAATTCTGTTCATAAAAACGTCATGACTTAGTGGTTCCGTCAGACTTAAACAGATTTAAGTTGATTTAAATATAGACTATAGTGTTGTTTTCCAGTGGTTAAATATTGATTATTTAAATGAGCTTATAGCGTATTGCAAAATAGTTTTCTTTCACTTTTGACACGCTATTCAGATGCACCTTTTGTGCATCAAGGGAGCTACTTGTATTTCTGCCGAAATCTCGTCTTTCAGCTTCTTTGACTGATTATTGTTATTTGTCCCTTGGGTTCCTAATGGAACATAGGGCTTCAGTAGCACGTCTCAAACGCGCTCTGTTCTCTGAAATCTTTTGAACCTGGCTCCACGACAGCCCAGAAGCTCTCATTTCCTTCTCACACGATTTCCTCTATGTCACCCTCAGCTGGGACGCCCAACTCATGGTTTCCCATGCCGGTTCCACTCGAGTGTTTTGCGCGTGATGTCCCCAGTCGGCCTTCTCAGTGTGTGCCCAATCCATCTCCACTTCCTTCTTCTGCATATTTGTTGAGTGATAGGTTCTTGGTTAGTTCGTTGGTAGGCCAGAGTTCCTTGTGCTTATTCTTATTATTCTGGCCATCTGATCTTCAGTAACGAGCCAGCGTAGACAGTTGTTGATGGATGTCTGTAGTTTGTTGGAAGTGCTTTTCGTAAGGCGCGAAGTCTCTGAACCATATAGAAGCACTGACTTGACTAACATTGGTGTTGAAAATCCGTATCTTGTTCACGCTTTATGCTGAGTGCAGGCTAATGAACGCCTGTCTTGCTTTTCCGATCTTGACTTTGACTTCATAGTCTGTGCCGCCTGTAGTTGAAACAGTGCTGCCTAGATAGGTGAAGGAGGCCTCTTTCTTTAGGTTTCTACCATTGATGGTGATTGCAGCTTGTTGTAGTTGTTAGTGGCATTGGTTGGGTATCTTCATCACCTCTGTCATCTCTATATTCATTCGAAGTCCCGTTTTCGCTGCCTCTAGTGTCAACTTGTTGGATTTTGCCTGTAGATCTTCACGTTTGTGTGACATCAGACACAAGTCATCGGCGAAATCCAGATCTTCTAGGTTCTTTTCCGCAGTCTGGTGTATCCCTCTCTTCTCGCTCCTCACTCTTTGTTGCATGATCCAGTTCAGTCCACTACAATCAGGAATATCATGGAGGAGATTGGTTCCCACTGCATGAGAGCCTTCGATGCTCTTGGGGACATCATGATAGCCACTCGAAAATTAAGTGTGCTCGTGGTTGTCGTGTGGGTGAAAATATCTGAGTAGATTATTGACTCCCCTCCAGTTGACAGTTTGGAGAGTCCACTTCCATTCCATCTGCTTTCGCATATTCCAAACACTTCACTGCGATACCTTCTCATCCCTTTTGCAATCTGGGCAACCTTGCCAGCTAGGTTCAAACGTAGTATGGCATTCCATGTTCCTGTGCTTACTTTCGCTTCCATGGAGAGAATACACATGGACCAGTTGGCTTCCCGAAGGCCTTCACCAACCGGTGTCATTTCGTCTCTCCGATTCCAGCGAGGACAAAGTTTATTTTTATTTTTTATATTTCGTGCGTGCTTTGAAGTTTGTTTAGCGGTTGAATTGATTTTACGGGGTAGGGTTGCCAGCCGTATGCTCAACCTTCCCTCTTTATCCGAGCTTAGGACCGGGCAATCAGCTAGTGAACTAGTTAACTAGGTGAGTTGGGCGTCCAAGGGTGACATGGAGGAGATCGTGTGAGGAAAAAATGGAAGCTTGTGGACAGTCGTGGAGCGAAGTTCAAAATACTACAGAGAACAGATTGCAATGAAAACGTGCTATTGAAGCCCTGTGTTCTACTAAGAACCCAAGATAGAGGTTCATTTCTTAATTGGTAATCATCGAGCAACTAGTTGATATAATATGTTCAATTAGTTTTTAATTTCAAGTTATGTAACCTTCATTATCACATTGCAAGTGATATATGACATACAAATTAGATTCTAACATTTAATAAAGGTGTAAATTCAAGTTTGATTGAATGCACCCATATCATATTCATATCCTGATATGAATGTGAAAGTAAATTATGTCCGAAACGTTATCCAGTAAGTTCTACTGTTTCACTGTGTGATATTTTTGATAAACAGACTAAAATGGAATTACCTCATACTTAGATTCACTAAAGCCTTAGCTATAACAGATTTCGGACCCCCTTTGTCTATTCTTACCTTAAACCTTCTTTAGTAATCTTTATCTCATTTTAATGTCAAGGGAGGTGTGAAAATATATCATTCTTCCGTATCATTATATTTTCTAAATCTTGTATTCTCTGAATTTATTTACATTACCCCACCCTATTTTTGTCCTTCATATAAAATACCTTGACAAATAAATGTGTGTGTGTGTGTGTGTTTAACCAGATGGTTTGTATGATCGTATGAATACGAGTCGGATTCTTATCATCCAACATTTACGTCATCAACTAGCTACATTATTATTATAACCACCATTATTGTTATTTCAACCTCTCATTATTTAAGTGAAATCTTCCTCATGGATCGCACTTCTTAATTATCGTATCTATATGTAAGAATGTACAGCTAGAGAGAATAAATTCGTTGAAACAAGTCCTGTTCTTCATGTCACAATGGGAATTATGAATTTATTCCTGATTATTTCTTAATCTGTTAGTCTTGTTGGTCTTGTACATTTCCTCTCTTCATATATCGTCGACGAAGTCCCTGACTGTTGGGCTGATCCATGTGAGGAGATGTAGACTGCCTGGTTGGGATTCTCGAGACGAAATGACTTATTCTAAGGCTTGAATATTCACACTAACCTTTATCTTCAAATTGTTTATTCTCTCATATTACTTTATCTACTTTGATATCACTCCTTTTCTATGCATCTCTTCTTTACGTACTACTGTGAAGTATGGCAACTTGAGCTGATGGACTCTTGTAAAAGGTTCTATGTTGATTTTGTCAGTCACATCATAGTGTTTTGATAGTAATATATATCTTCTTTTTTTTAAAAAAACCTTATTTTTAAAATTATCTCCTTTTCTCTCCATTTTCAGTTTATGCTCTATGGACTACTACAATGTTTGGATCATTTATTAATTGTGTACACATTTCTTCCATTACGTTGTTTTCTAACTGTTTTAAACTTATTAATGAGGATAGGTAGCCGAATATTTCAGTTTTGTACACATTTGGATCTAGATCAGTAAGTTGTGTTTTGTGTTTTTTTTCTCCTCCTTGTATTAATATGTTGAAAACATTTAAACTAATACTGTTTTAAGATGGTATTCATCACACTGGAAATCTGTTTCATCCTAGTATGGGACTGTTCAGCAGGTTTCGCCGTACATATGTTACTATTGAGTCAGTCAGTCAGTTGAAATTCAATCGTCGACATTTACCTAATTTTGTCAATTCGTGATATAGCTCTACCATCACCTAATGCCATCGTTGATTATTTGTACTCACACGCGACACGTCACGACTTCTCGTTAGAGCTTTAGGTGATCTCATCTCCAAGCATGTCTATAATGAGCACTGTAGGTTTATGAGAGTTAATTGATTTCAGTTTAGTATTCATAAGAAACTGACATCAGTCTAATGCACCCAAGTTTTCAACGGTTCTCCAACTGATTCCAGTTCGGTAGGAATTCCTCCTTAAACGTAAAATTTTTATTTACCTCGAAATACATTACCTCATAGTGTTCATTAGTGACATGCTTCCAGATGGATATCCTGAAGTTCCAATGAGAAGCCATGACCTGTTTAGTCAACCAGTCAGAAGGGAAGTCGATGCCGACTACAGACCTTGGGTGGTAGCCGCGCTATATCGTGAACTGACAGAAGTTGGGAACTGTGAAGCATTGACCTTCGGCTCAGTTGATGAATGGTTAATCCATTCGTCGTGAAATCTGAAGGTTCTGAGTTCGACCCCCGATGGGTTCGTAAGTGCGTTCTGCTGAGGAGTCCCATACTGGGATGAAACAGCTGTTCAGTGCTCTTCAGGTCTTCACTGGTTCTACAACTGATGTCACTCCGTGATGAATATGATCTTCAAATCGAATCTCACTGCTCAAATGCAAATTGCTGCTCCAGGATTTGTCCAACAGTGCCTTTATCGCAGCTAACAATAGAGAGTGAATTGGTTGAGTGTGTCGACCACTTCACTTAGCTGGGAAGTATGATCAACCCAAGTGGCTGAGTGGCCGGTGGAATGCACACACGAATACAAAATGTTCGGCTGGCTTTTGCCGACTTAGGCCACCTGTGACACCGCCTTGATATCCGATTGTCAGTAGACAATGGTCGTGTGTAGTGTAGTGTAGTGTAGTGTAGTGTAGTGTACCGCAGTGCGGTCTGTTCTACTGTATGTCTGTGAAACATGGCCAGTGAAGGTGGAGGACATGAGAAGGCTGGCTTCAGGTGTTTGACTACCGTTACCTTCGTGGTATAGGCCGTTTTTTTTGTGGTGTGACGACGTGAGTAAGGCAGAAGTGAAGTGTAGAGTTTTAGAGAGGATAGTGAAGTCAGTTGACACGGTTGTGAAGCTTCATGGAGTGAGATGGTTGTGACGTGTTACGTATGCGTAGTGACCGATTTCCTCGTCACCGACTGCTTTGTCACACAATGTTGTTTGAAGTAGGTTGAGGCTGGATGAGGGGCCGAGGTGGCCAGACTAAAACATGTCACCAATGTATGAAGTCTGTGACTGTTGGTTTGAGTCATGTGGTGCGATGCAGACTGGTTGGTTAGGGTTGTTTGAGACGGACTGTAGATGATATGTCTGAGAACGGATGTGGGTGGCATAGATGTATGCACACATTATCCTGATCTTGACGACGCTATACCGAATCTCACCACTTTCTCATTCTTCGTTTCTCTCTTTTCCTACTTTATATTTCTTTTGACTGAATTATCTCATCTTCATCTTGCAGTTCACTGTCTTTTTACCTAATGTACTGATATTTAGTGTGGCAACTCGAACCGTTACGTAGTACTGCCTGGTCCTATGTTGATTCGGATGGATGGATCAAATGAATAAATCTGCACAAACATCTGAACCGTAACACTGTTTTATCTGTAGGAAAATAGTTTCTTTTACTGTTTTTCCTACTTCTGTTTGGATTTTACAGTATTTTTCGTTTTTTTGTGCGTGTATATATTAAGTAGGGTAGTTTTTTAGAAACAAAAATACTTACAGTTATCATTAATATGTTAAACTGCTTGTATTTCCTTCGATTATGTATTTAACTAAGCTTGTTTGCCCTGTGTTCGATGTGATATTGAAGAAGACGGTACTTGTTTCTGACGATTTTCACATAGGGAGGGATTTATTCGTCGCATAGTGTCAATCGGAAGCAAAATTATCTGAATAGTGGAGAATACTTAATGTAGCACTTGAAATCGAAGAGCTAAGTATACTCGGTAACCACATGCATGTTCGTGCAGTAGACAGTGAGACGACCTCTGTGTAAACGATAACGATACTTACTACCTGGTTTACCAAAACTCGGTAGCTCGAGCTCGGTGTTCGAACCTATGACCCACTGGTTGCAACTCAACTACTTTGATGTAAAACCATTTCTCCACTAGGACAATACTTATGCAGTCATATTTCAAGGCAAGATAAAGTCTATAGCATCTTGTAAATGAAGATAGTAGCGCTTTATGGAAGCTTGTTTATATAAAAGAAATACAATTTGAAGGTTACCAAATCAAGTTAGGATTTGATGGTATGAAAAAATTTGGGCATGAAGTAGTGGGTGCTCATTATTTTGGCTTTATATTTTCAAATGAAGGCAAAGCAAAAGAAGGTCAATCTAACTGACGTTTCTCTAGTTATTACCAGAGGCTTCATCAAAGTTATAGTCGATGACATTCATCAGATTTAATATTTGAAAAAATGCCGGTGGAAAATCATGCATCTTTTCATCGTGGTTGTGGAGATCGAAACACGAAAAGAAAGTAGAAGTGGTATTCATGTCTAAATGGAACCGTTGCTCCTTTTGTTTAGGTGATTGATTTCTCAGTGATTAGTTGTGGTTTTTAACATGGCGAGCACCTAACGAGATTTGGACGGCTCGAGAACCACGCTCACTTTCTTGAAGTGGGTAATTAGTCGTGCCTATAATTTATAGGCTGATGGTACCAACTTCAGTTTTGATGCACGCTTGATGATGACATGTGAGTGTTAATATGTAAGACTTGAATGTGTATAATTTGACAAAGAACAAGATGGAAGTTCTTGTATTCATACGATAACAGTAAAACAATACAGTATAATATTATTTATAATTTGTTGGTACGCATGAGAATCTGGTCCATGAGGAGCTGGTCGGGTTTTGTTTAGGTTTTGGGTGCATTGGTCACTTGTTCACCCTCCGCATCATCTGTGGCGCTGACCTGCAAGACATCCTACTACCTATCAAATGACGAGTATAATGCGCTGAAGTCCGTTCTGTTGTGTTGTATGGCTGTGGGATATGGGCGTTAAAAGTAGAAGACATGAAGCTGCTACAAGTGTTTGATCATCGCTCGGCTTTAGTGGGATCACTGTGCGAGGAATGTTGAGGTCAGACAAAGAGTATTGAGCAAGACAGACAAGTCAGTCGGTGAGGTTGTGAATCTTCATCGAATGAGATGGGTTGTACATGTACTGGGCATACCAAGTCACCATCTATCTCGACTTGCTATTCTAGGGTAGGGGAAGTTGAATTAGGTTGGGAGCGAGTTCAGAGTTGCCAGACCAGGACATGGCACCAGCGTATGAAATTCCTGACTTTTAGTCTGCGCTGTGTAGGGAAGTGTGGACTGCCTGCTTGAAGTCCAGAGACGAAGGGAATCAGTGGTTGGAGACTCTTGGTGAGATGGCTAAAAATTGGTTACAATGGCGCAATTATATTCACTCCCAGACGTCTTCTGAAGCTTGAATATATATATATATATATATATATATATATATATATATATATATATATATATATATATATATATATATTAAAAGTGATATTCAAGAATGTGATAACTTGTATAGACGTTAGTTTCTGAAGGAGCAACTTTAACGAAGCCATTCAACGTCAAAGCTTTGCCTTTCTATTTCAGTAAGATTTTTAAAAATGTGTATTATCATTCTCAATCATGTAACCAATACGCAGTTTATTTAACTCTATTATATTAGCTATTAACACTATTATTATTATTTGTCCCTTGGGTTCCTAATGGAACATAGGGCTTCAGTAGCACGTCTCAAACGCGCTCTATTCTCTGAAATCTTTTGAACCTGGCTCCACGACAGCCCAGAAGCTCTCATTTCCTCCTCACACGATCTCCTCCATGTCACCCTCAGCTGGGACGCCCAACTCATGGTTTCCCATGCCGGTTCCACTCGAGTGTTTTGCGCGTGATGTCCCCAGTCGGCCTTCTCAGTGTGTGCCCAATCCATCTCCACTTCCTTCTTCTGCATATTTGTTGAGTGATAGGTTCTTGGTTAGTTCGTTGGTAGGCCAGAGTTCCTTGTGCTTATTCTTATTATTCTGGCCATCTGATCTTCAGTAACGAGCCAGCGTAGACAGTTGTTGATGGATGTCTGTAGTTTGTTGGAAGTGCTTTTCGTAAGGCGCGAAGTCTCTGAACCATATAGAAGCACTGACTTGACTAACATTGGTGTTGAAAATCCGGATCTTGTTCCACATGCTGAGTGCAGAAGATATTCATGTCATTCTTTAAATCCATTTCCATGTGGCAATCTAATGTTGGATGTTTTCGATACTTAGACTGTTCTGGATGATAATTAGTGTACAACATCATACCTACCTAAGGTTTGAATGGCTTGTTGTTATTTGTTTGAATATGTTCAACCAGATTACCATTGAACAGATTTCACTTATTGAGTAATTAAATCTTAAAATCTAAGCAAACTGCCTACTGAAGTAAGTAAAGGTTTGTTTACCAGTTATTCAGGCTAGGCCAAGCCAGGCCATCGAGTTGAAGCGAAATGGGAAACGAGGAGTTGGGAATCTGAGACGAGGGTGACATGGAGGAAATTGTGTGAGGAAGAAATGAAAGGTTATGGGCTGTTGTGGAGCGAGGTTGAAAAGACTGCAGAGAAGAGATTGAAATGGTGACGTGCTACTGAAGCCCTATGTTCCACTAGGAACTCAAAGGACAAATAATAGAATAAAAACAGTGAATGTCAGCCGGTCATCG